CGAAATAATCAATTTATTCGACTAGGTACCAAATTAATATAAATAATTGAAATAATTATATATTTTAGAAATATATTTATTATTTTAATATTTTTATTTAATATTTTATATATTTTTTGTTGAAAATACATAATATATATATGTATACAAAATATATTCAAAATAATATATTTTTTTTTTATAATCCTTTACAAATTACATATTTAACCTACAGGCTAAAATTGTAATATAATCCACATTATCGAAATTGCAAATCATGAGACCCTCGAAACTATCTAAGTTTCGAAGGCATGCCCCAGAATTTTCTATCTGTTTGCTAGTGCCGGAGCCCTAACCTTCTGTATGTCGGGACTGGTTATATATCATAGAAAAAAAAATCGACGTGCTATGATTCGGGAGCTAATATTTTGTTAGCATCGAGGCGCCAGTCGAGGTTGAAATTCACATTGTGAATGTAGTTGTTGCAATATCTGAAGCCACACACTTTCTCTACAAAAGCATAATTCATCTTCAAACCGCGAGTCAAGTCTCTGTGCTCATTGGTCTTTTGTCGTCTCGTTTTTTGCAATTCAATATATATGTGCCCTACTGCAAATTACCCAGACAAGGCCGTACTGACATTCCACTTGTCGAAGGGTCTCTATATGAGAAAAGTCGGCATGCGTGTGTGTGTATATATATATATATATATATATATATATTGGATATAACGCGGCCATCAAAACACAACCATATGCACAATTTTTGGTATAACGCAGATTAACTGTGAGACGAGCTGACTCATCATATTTTTTTAAGCAAGAATGCTTACTTATGGTATAAAATGTCATGCATTTATTTATTTTATTTTTTAAAGTACTCACATTTTATCAAGTATGAATATATATTATTGCTCTAATATCCTTATGTTACTTAACATGATGTCCCTAACTAGTGTATTTTAGAAATATGAAATATATTATTTTCCAATATATTATTCACTTGGAGATAGAAAATTGGAAATAAGCACCAATAACAAACCATCCATGAAACATAGCTTGATACATATTGAAATCATTTGATTACAATTTGCTTCACAATCGAACATTCAACCATACATAGGATTGGAAATACAATTTTGAGCCATGGCCCCAAGAAACCATGATAAATAGAAAATGTTATACAAACTTCATTCACTTATTATTGGAAATTCCAAAATGTAGAAATGTAATACTTTAATTGACAATTGACAATCAACATGTAATGCATATTTATCTGCCCTCGGTTAAATATCCAGAAATCTTAAGACCATCTAGAGTTAGGATGCACAGTTGAGCGTCGAGAGAGCCGGTTGGATGAGAATCGACTCAATGCGATGGGATGCCTCTTGAGTTAAATGCAAACCATCCCAAAATATGTAATTGTCCGGATCTGGACAAACAGGCACACCTCGGTTCCCGCAAAACCTTTTGCTGTTGAAATTGTATTTTCCTCCAATTCCACAACAAGCTTTCAACGCGTTGTTTTTGTTTGGCCCTGTATATAACAACATATAATCGACATTGTTAAGCTTTTCGAAAAAGGTAAGCAAGGGCTAAATATATATCAAAAGACAACACTCAAGCTCAAATCACACATGACTCTTACAAAATTTAAATTTAGATAAGAGATTGTCAAAAATATTTCATAACGATGAAAGATCCATGAAAGCTTAAAAATATATCATCCATACTAGCTATATGTAGAAAAAATGAGGTGTATTTAACTTGCCTGCCATAAACTGAGTAAGATACTGTCGCACGCCATCGTCAAATGCACCGTAAAATAAGCTGACATCAGGAAACTCTATTCTAAGTTTTGCGATAGCTTGTTGGAGATCGTTGTTTTTAAATGTCATTAGATCGTTTACGCTTTTAAGACAACCGAATTCGTCGTAAGCTTTCGGATCATTGCTTGGGAATGCAGTTAGAATATAAGGAAAGCATCCGATTGGAGCATTTCCCGGGATTATTAATTGCCTTGCCCCCATGCTGATCAGCTCCTGCATGCATCGATTCAATTATTGTGCTATATATATAGAAGATATATTTAAGAATATGAAATTAACATAGATATATATACATACCCTTGTAACATTTATTTGAGCTTGTGTTATATAGGGCACATAAGTTCGTGCTTCATTGATGGATTTTCCTTGGAGCAGTGAATAGCCGATGTCATTGGCTTCAATGTCCCCCAACAGTATAAGAGAATTTGCTAGCCTATTTGCACAATCTGATCATATAGTTTTAATAAAAAAAAATATTAGTATAATTCAATAATTTACAAATTAAATAAATATGTATGATTTATGTTATACTAACTTGATCCACAAACGGATTTTAGATGTGTTCTGAACCAATTGAGCTGTTCGTAAAGAGGAATGACATATGGTGGAATTTTAACGCCTCTTTGTTTGAAAAACTTGTGGTCGAGCACCGGGCTTCTTGCTACCGAAAATATGACTCCGTTGCTGGAGTTTGCTTCGGGTGTCAAATAAGGTACGATGCGTGGAAAGCCGAAATCAGCAGCTGCACAAAAACTCATCATCATGACCATTAAGTTACACATATATAGATCATGCAAACAACATATTTAGTTTGTTCATTCACACAACACTAGCTAGTTAACACATGCTTAATATACCAAAAATATTATCACTACTTAAGAATCATTGTTATTAGATATTTTAGTAATAGAATAATGCACAAGAGCCAAGAGCATTCACACAATGGAATAAATTAGATGTGTAATTAGCATATGACTTTATAATAATACCACATGCATGTGATAATATTTCACTTTTATAAAATAATCTCGAAGTCTTTTTCACGAATCCATTCATTTTACTTGCATGCTTACACACACAGTACACACAAATATATATATAATTTGAAATTTTCTTGTATATACCTGCAAAGTCGAAATCAATAAGACCATCGCCCCATCGACCAGTAGGGTAACCGGGGTACGACCGGCCATAAGGCAATCGTGCAGCCGGAAGCGAAGGTCCCCAAGGGAGAACCCGAATTGAATTGCCGACGTCAGTAACTCCATCACCAAGATGGTACAAATACTGATACGGACACACGGTATTTTGTGACGAGATCGTACCAACGAAAAGAAACAAAAAGGCAATAGCAAGTTTGGGAAAATAGGAAGAACAAGAAGTATCCATGATTAATAATAATAGTAATAATAACTTAATTGGTATTTTTGATCCTCTTTAGCTAAATGTTGCTCTAATTTTCTTCGCTTGTTTGTGGTCATAACAATTGGGTTGCATGCAGTTTATATAGGCAAACTTTAGCCACCAAGTTGGATTATAATATGCATTAAAAAATTTGGCCTTTTACAAGTTCAAAGTTTGGAGTTACTTAGATTGTAAATATCCAAAATAGGAAAGGAATATTAGGATGTAATATCATATGATTTCTGACTTTATGTTATAAATCAAACCGTATTTATTCAAATGTCAACGAGGGAACTAATGGTACAGTGTCAAATTAATTTAACGCGTATCTTTATTTATTTTCAAATTTTATAGTTTTCAGTTGAATACGTCCTGATGAGTTGATTATTGGAGATATAGTGGGCAGTATACATATAAACTTGACCCAAAATTATGGGGAGTTATTATTATTATTATTATTATTATTATTATTATTATTATTATTATTATTATTATTATTATTATTATTATTTTCCATCTATAAAGTTGACAAAAGAAATTAAAATGCGGTGTCATTAAAAAATTTCATTAATTGTATATATATATATATATTTTTTTTTACTTTACGAAGAACTAATCAAAATTAATTATTCAACATTAGCTTTAAGAAAAATTCGTTTATATATATATATTTTAACTTACGTAAGAACTAATCAAATTTATTCTTTGAACATGATAAGAAAGAAGCTATCCGAAATCTCCTGCCCAAATTCCCAGTTTTGTATGTAAATACTAAATAGTAATTTGAAAGTATAAATAAATCCGATAATCCAATTCAATTGTTTTGACTTTTATTTAACATTAGTACAACACCAGTGTATTATACGTGTACTTCCTAATTTTTTTTTTTAAATTTAAAATTAATGAGAAAAAAGTGGTTGAAAATTAAAAAAAAAAATATTTATATATATTAATATGACACTTGTTACTTGTGCGACTTACATGTGTTACATTATAATAACTTTTCAAACTTATAACATATGACTACATTAAACATAAATATATAAATTGAGATATAATTTAATTTTTTTTATTTAGTTTTAGTAAATACTATTATTATTATTATTATTATAAAGATAAATATAATTTATTTATTTTATATATATGTTATCATCCAACTTGATAATCCACATTACCCAAGTAAATACGCAGCTCCAAGTAGCTCCACTTCGGTCCAACCTTGAAGAACTAACCGGACCGCACTAAACCGAGGTCGAAACCGACATACCGAAGTCAACTAAAACCGAGCTCACCAAAACCATAGCTGATGATCGCACCCTCATATATAATGCTTACGCAAACCAAGATCCACTTCATGATTATGAGTGGGCCCAGCTGACAATCGCCGCCCATAAAGTTACTTTATGAGAAAAGCTACCGTACACTTCTCGTAATTAGTGACAAAAAGTTTACTATAAATAGCTGATTTTTATACTTGTACAAGGATCGAACTCTTACTATTCTTCATAAACATGAAACAACTCCAACAGCTTTTCACCTCGGTTCACCTCAGGCCGAGGCCATTGTCTTTGTTCTATCACGCAATCTTCGTTAATTAAACACATAAATCGATCCAGCATCAAGATAAACCCGTTGTTGTAATCCACATAACAACAATATACAACATGGATGTCAAATCGAAACTCATCAAAAGACGATTAATTTGGTATATTATATATGTAAAACCGATAAGAAATACAAAAGTTATCAACTTTTAAAATATATTTACAATTCAATTGTTATAATAGGAAATGATATTAAGATACAATTAATACATCTAAAATGATCATAAATAAATCAACATATTTATGGTAATCTGAACCTAATTATTTTGGGATTAAAGTTAAATTAAAATATATCCAAGCCAAACAATGAAGCATGAAATTTTGACACAAATAATCCCGAAGCACGCGAGCCTGCCTCTTAAGTTCAGCACACTCGGAAATTATATATATGGAGGATTTGATTATAGATTTGTACATTGCAAACTCATTATATTTGCCATAAATTTTGCAAGTAAATAAATTGATTTTGCTATATAAAGTGAAATCACTTATGACATCATACTTAATTAATTAATTATAAATGTATATGGATATGTATCTTACCATAAATACATTTTAAGACATCTATCAATACATATATGGCTCCATAAAATTTATGTCTTCTTCCAATATTTGTATTTTGACATAAAGATAATGTAATTTGATAATTGAGCATATTAATATTATTAACATTAGATATTTAACCCAAATGTCATCGCACGTTATGCAGCTATACAGCTACCAGGTAAACTTATTTTTCATTAGAAATACGCGTTATTGATTTTCCAAAATGACCGGAAAACAATTTTTCATTTTGCTTGAAGTTTTGAACCCACGTAAGACAAAACGTGGTAATACCCCTTTTCTTTTTTTTTTTTGGATGCATCAACTCATCCGATGAAAGTTGAAACCGAAAGATCAAGTTGAAATGTACAACTCGCTAAGGTACGATTTAGTTATTATTTTTAATATAACTTTTTTTTTATTAGATTTTTTTCTACATTGTGGTGAGATACGATAAGACATGTCCAAAACACAGATCGGATCATAGTTAGACCTGGCCCGACGGTCCTCAAGGCTGGAAAACAAGGACCCGACACGAATCTATGCTCGTGCCGGGTCAATGGCCCGGTTAATCGGTTCGGGTCCTGTTGGAAAAATCAGTTATAAAACATGGGTTTGACCCGATTTTGATTGAATTTTTTATGGCTAAATATTTAATTTGAGTTGAATTAAATATTGTAGAAAAATTCTACGTTCCGAATAGATACTCGTGGTATATTTATTTTCTCAAAACTGATTTTGGGTGAGTGGGAAATAAATTGTTAAAGTTTCCATAAAATGACACATAAAACGTTGGTTGTGGGATTTGAAGGGTCAAGAGTCACTTCTACATTGGACTCTTAAATGAGTTTAACTCTCTTTATTATAATAAAGAGAGTTGGAGAGATTACAACAAGCACAAATGTAACGCCCCGTTCGTTTATGAATAAATTGGATTATTATTATTATTATTATTATTATTATTATTATTATTATTATTATTATTATTATTATTATTATTATTATTATTATCATTGTTGCCATTATTATTAATTGTTATTTGTCTATTTGCCTAAATGAATTTATGTGCCTTATGCGTATTTATTATAAACTCTAATTTTGAATATTTTATATAATTATTAAATATTAATTTAATTTAATTTTCGTCGATCCGAGCCGTAATATTTTTCCTAAGTGTTAAAATGAGCTTCCGGCCCAAGTCTTTTGATCGCGCCCGCGCCAAGGCCGTCGGCCCGCGTCCACGCCCAGCCGACCGAACCCCCCTCACCCTTCTCTCTTTGGCTCCCATTTTAAATTCAAATTTTGAATGTGGGGTTTTATTTAGGGCAAGGATTTGGCCAGCCCTTTTAATTCCTTTTGACCGGCCATATTGCACATATTAAGCCATAGATTTGCCTCTCTTTTATGGTAAGTATGATCCCATTGATTGTGTGGATCAATTAAGGAGATTTTTCCCTCAACTCTCATATATTTCACAAGTTGTGTCCCCTCATTTTACCTTAGCCAAAATCAGAATTTCAACTCTTTCCCTCTTTCAATCTCTCTCGCACTCTTCCTCTTTCGCTCGTACCCGGTCACCGTGCGTCGCCTCCCTCGACCTGCCCCTCCTCCTCGTGTCCCCGTTCGCGTGAAGAGGACGTCGGGCGAACCAAGCCATCGCCATTTCGCACGTTCCGTGGTTGTCCAGCACCCAGTAGTCGCGCACAAGCCATCCCCGCGAAGCCGTACGCACGCCACGCGAAGCTGCCGTGCAGAGAGATCGCATCGCAGCCGTCCTCGGCCCCGTTCGATCCTTGTTTCGTTCAAATTTCACGAGAACGGTACAAGGCTGAAAACCCCCTTATTTTTATGTGTGTATATGTTAGATATTGAGCCTTGATTGAAATTGCATGATGGGGTTTGTATTATGATCGATAAATTTCGTAATACGTTCGTTATTGCGTTCATATGTGTATCGTACATAAATCGTGATTTGGGCTGTGGAATATTGGAACATTTGAAGTCTTTGGCCTCATGGTGAAGGCCTTAGACGAAATTGTTGAGTAACTTATTAATTACGCATTTTTGAATCGAGTAGTGCTGCTGAATATTCAAAAAAAAAAATCATTAAAAATCGAATACTCGTCCGATTGCCATGAAATTCGAACTGTAGAGTCCTCTGTTGGTATTCTATATGCTGTAAAAATTTCATGCCAAAATGATGTCTGTAGCTATGTCAAGTATTGAATTTAAGATCTGGGCAGAAACTTTGAAAATTCATTAAAAATCGTGTGATGGGATTTTTGCTGTGATTTTTGGTGAATGTTAATAACTTGATGTTATGTGTGTTGTGTCCAAATTTTATCGAAAAATTCCAAGGATTGCCCGGTGAAGTAGAAAATTCAGATTTTAATCGTCTTTTTGTAAAAATTGGTTGATTGTGTTAAATTGAAGAGTTGGATCTAAAAACCTTGTGATTATGTGCCTGTTGATGTCTAAAAATGACCAACAATGTGTTCGAACTGCACACTAAGATGTGTACTCTGTTCGGTCTGCACGAATAGAATTTGTGTATGTGATCCGGTTTTATTCTATTGGTCCGAATGCTCAGTCTATCCGTGACTTATTGGGTAATTAATGAGAGCATTTACTCATTGCATTAAATGATGTCCTCCTCTCCCTTTTATAGGAAGTTTTTGGGACTTTACATTTCCCTCTTGGGGATTTTACATTTCCTTTTGTAGGATATTTTTAGATATTAGTCATTCAACATTAATGCTAATTGTACTTGGTCATCTTTTCCCAATATCTGAGAGTCGTCCGGATCGTGCCACGCGTCCCTGTTCTTTCTTTGCCATC